CTGCTGCTGACTGGCTGTATGGCCTTTTGCTACAGTAACAGTCTTTGCTGAAAGAAAAGGAGGACTTGTGGCACCTTAGAGACTAACAAATTTATTAGAGCATAAGCTTTCGTGAGCTACAGCTCATTTCATCGGATGCATTTGGTGGAAAATACAGTGGGGAGATTTATATACACAGAACATGAGACCCCTCCAATCCCTTCCCCTTCTCTTTGTCTCCATTAACCAGATGGGGATATAATGTTTACCTGGATAGCACCAAGAATGTGCAAGAGGCTTTCCAGACAAATCAACACACAGTTCCTGCCCTGAGGAGCTTATGCTGTAAAATACTTAGCACTGTGACTATCCAACAAACCCTTACCTCAGAGCATGCTGGGAGAATTGCTGTTATAACTGTAAGCCCCTTTTATTTACTGCCAAGTGTAGGTTAGAGACTAGAAGCTTGATCTGCTTTGAATTTTGCTTCTCAAATGATGGATCCAGATGGTGGCTTGTCTGTTTGGACAGAACCTCTCTTAGATTTTGGAGAAAGCTGATTATAACTTGCATTCTGTGTTGTGGTTATTCTTGTACCAGTCTAAGAAGCATTAATTACTGCATGAGACTGATACCGTATGACAAATTACATGTACATTCATCTATTTTGGGGGATTTATCTTTCCAGCTAAAATGGGCTTCAGAACTTGATTTTGACTGTCTGTTTTGTGGTGCTTTGCCTGTACCCTGAGATGGAAAACACTAGATCTCAGAACCCTTCACAGTCCCCCGGTAGGCAAGTGTCATGATTCCTCTTCTGCAAGCTGGGAAGCGGCAGGGAGATAGAGTGGAAATTTCTTGCCTGAGGTCACCCAGTGAGTCTGTGTCAGGGGGAATTTTACCCCACATCTTCCGATTCTCAGTCCTGTGCTTTAGCCACTAGACAATACTTCCCTTCATGCTTCCTTAGTGGTAACACCTGACAGTTACATGTCTTCATCTTGACAGCTTTCTCCAGGTTTGAAACCTAAGAGGAAGTCCCATTGCTCTGCAGTTTGCTGTGCTGTGGAAGGGATGTGAAAGGCAGCCTGAACTCTGCTCTTTCTTATCCCCTTTTAGCTCTATTCTGGGCTTGAGGAGCTGTCAGGGATGACACCTGCCCCTTCTTAGCAGGCCCCTAGGGCAGTGTCTGTTCTTCACAAGGGCCATATTAACTTCAATGTGCAGCTCAAAACATCAAAAAGGGGAAATGAATAATGGAGTCATTATAAGGCGCCTTCCCCTTTCGTTCTGTTGCTTGCCTGAGCCCAAGCATGTTGCAGGCATGAGAGAGATGCTTTTGTTTCCTGGGTGTGCCCCTCTCATTCCTTTTTACTAGAGCCTTGCCAGGTTGCCTAAGGACCTGTGTATGCATGTGTGTGAGAGCTGGGTCTCCTGAGTTTGGAAGAGGCCTGACTTATGGGGGGAGGAAAGCGCCTGGGAGGGTTACCTGTTGCTGGGTAAGGAGAAGCATGGTTATCAGATTACTAGGGTAGGTGTGTGCGTCCCTCTTAAGTAAGATGGTGTGTGGTGGTGGCGGGAGCCGGATAAGAGGAAAGTGGCAAATGCAGCATTAAGGACTCCAACACAATGGGCAGTGAGAGAGTTTGAACAAAGCCCTTGAAGAGAAGTGTCTATGGCCAAGTACCAGCCCTGGAGAGCAGAGAGCCTTGTATGGAACGCTAGTGTGTCTAGCATGTACCATCAGAGGCCCCATCTCCCCAAGGGCTCTTCCTGTTCTGCCACCAGGTGGCAGTTTCAGCTTTCAGAGAAATTGCTGAAAGGGAATCTGTTCCGTAAGTTTCAGAGTAGTAGCCATATTAGTCTGTATCTGCAAAAAGAAAAGGTGTACTTGTGGCACCTTAGAGACTAACAAATAAGTGTGTTTGTGGTTTTCTCTCTAATCCCTCCCTCCAGCTATGATGCCAGTTGGGTAGGCTGGGGCAACAAGAGTGTGGCAGATGGAGCCTCTGGAATGCCCCTGGTGCATGGTCCCTCCAGAATTAAAGAAATTTTCCAATTTCTTTAACTTTCTTGATCACACAGAAGCTGCCAGTAAACACCAAGCCAAGTGAGGAAGGTTCACTCGTATCCTGGAGAGTCTCAAACAGGCTGCAGCCATGGAACATTTTGCTCACAACTTGAGCCTGGGTTTGTTCATAGCAGGGCCTTCTAGGGTAACAATAAATAAATAAAATGGACTTTTGACTGCCTTTCAACTACTTTTTTGCACAGCCCACAAAGTGGTTTGATATGGTTGGCAACCAGAAAATGTTCAGACCTAGAAGTACTGGCTGGCGGGTCAAGCTGAGATGCATTTGCACAGTGACAGGAACAGTAGGCTCAAGGCTGAGGTGCATTACTAGAGCTGTGTGAGTGTGGGAAACCCAAGGCTGGCATAGCTGTGGGGGCTGCAGGTCAGAATTGAAGCCCTTGGTGTGCAGAAAGCCTGCACAGTGCCTGCTGCTCTGCCTGGCTCCAGCCAGTGCTCTCCTCTAATTTTTATACAAAATTAACTTCCACATTTTTTTAACAGAAGAAAATATTCTGACAAGACCTGGCTGTGGGTACAGGGGCTTTCCAGGTGGCCCTGTTGGGGTTGGGTTTAAGCAGCTTCCTTAACACAGGAGCTGTTGGCTGAGGGACACTCCTCCTGCAGGTGTCTGTGGAGGGGATTCCCTTCTCTCTGTGTATATTTAGAGCAGGAAAGCTGTGAAACGCTGTGTGTATTTAGACTGCCTGTGCAAATTTGTTTTGAAGTTACAGAATCAGCCTCCTAGGGGAGACAATTGTATTGATTACTGCCCCTGCTGGTAGCCCCAGTGGCTTATTCCTGGGTAGAGCAGTTATATGGTTAATCCACTGAAAATAGGTGGGAGGAGTAAATTCCGTGTCCTCTGGGAAGGTGGCAGTTCCCTGTTGGAATGTGAGGAGTTGCTGTCAGCTGTCCTTGGAGGTGCAAATCCTGGAATGCAGAAAATCATCCAACAGGCAGCTAGAGCTATTGAAGTGAACGAGGAAACCTCATCTGCCTGTGGCCTATACACATCTGCAACGGTCTGTGCTGCAGGGCCTGCTGGCAGTGGAGAACTGGGAGCTCAGGCTGCTAAAGGCAAAGGCTTGATTGGGTTGATAGTCACTAAGCACCAGGCAGGTTCTGACCCGCCCCACATACTGTTCTTTGTTCAATATCTTCATAAATGATCTGGAGGATGGTGTGGATTGCACTCTCAGCAAATTTGCGGATGATACTAAACTGGGAGGAGTGGTAGATACGCTGGAGGGTAGGGATAGGATACAGAGGGACCTAGACAAATTGGAGGATTGGGCCAAAAGAAATCTGATGAGGTTCAATAAGGATAAGTGCAGGGTCCTGCACTTAGGACGGAAGAACCCAATGCACAGCTACAGACTAGGGACCGAATGGCTAGGCAGCAGTTCTGCGGAAAAGGACCTAGGGGTGACAGTGGACGAGAAGCTGGATATGAGTCAGCAGTGTGCCCTTGTTGCCAAGAAGGCCAATGGCATTTTGGGATGTATAAGTAGGGGCATAGCGAGCAGATCGAGGGACGTGATCGTCCCCCTCTATTCGACATTGGTGAGGCCTCATCTGGAGTACTGTGTCCAGTTTTGGGCCCCACACCACAAGAAGGATGTGGATAAATTGGAAAGAGTCCAGCGAAGGGCAACAAAAATGATTAGGGGTCTGGAACACATGATTTATGAGGAGAGGCTGAGGGAACTGGGATTGTTTAGTCTGCAGAAGAGAAGAATGAGGGGGGATTTGATAGCTGCTTTCAACTACCTGAGAGGTGGTTCCAGAGAGGATGGTTCTAGACTATTCTCAGTGGTGGAAGAGGACAGGACAAGGAGTAATGGTCTCAAGTTGCAGTGGGGGAGGTTTAGGTTGGATATTAGGAAAAACTTTTTCACTAGGAGGGTGGTGAAACAGTGGAATGCGTTGCCTAGGGAGGTGGTGGAATCTCCTTCCTTAAAAAGAAAAGGAGTACTTGTGGCACCTTAGAGACTAACCAATTTATTTGAGCATGAGCTTTCGTGAGCTACAGCTCACTTCATCGGATGCATACCGTGGAAACTGCAGCAGACTTTATATACACACAGAGAATATGAAACAATACCTCCTCCCACCCCACTGTCCTGCTGGTAATAGCTTATCTAAAGTGATCATCAGGTTGGGCCATTTCCAGCACAAATCCAGGTTTTCTCACCCTCCACCCCCCCACACAAATTCACTCTCCTGCTGGTGATAGCCCATCCAAAGTGACAACTCTTTACACAATGATAATCAAGTTGGGCCATTTCCTGCACAAATCCAGGTTCTCTCAACCCCTCCCAAAAACCACACACACAAACTCACTATCCTGCTGGTAATAGCTCATCCAAAGTGCCCATTCTCCCTACAATGTGCATGATAATCAAGGTGGGCCATTTCCAGCACAAATCCAGGTTTTCTCACACACCCCCCACCCCCATACACACACAAACACACTCTCCTGCTGGTAATAGCTCATCCAAACTGGGTGGGAGGAGGTATTGTTTCATATTCTCTGTGTGTATATAAAGTCTGCTGCAGTTTCCACGGTATGCATCCGATGAAGTGAGCTGTAGCTCACGAAAGCTCATGCTCAAATAAATTGGTTAGTCTCTAAGGTGCCACAAGTACTCCTTTTCTTTTTGCGAATACAGACTAACACGGCTGTTACTCTGAAACATCTCCTTCCTTAGAAGTTTTTAAGGTCAGGCTTGACAAAGCCCTGGCTGGGATGATTTAATTGGGTATGGGTCCTGCTTTTGAGCAGGGGGTTGGACTAGATGACCTCCTGAGGTCCCTTCCAACCCTGATATTCTATGATTCTACTGCATGTATGTGGCAAGCTCCTGGCATTGGGGGCCAGCCCTTTGGGCCCCACTGGGAGGAGTCTGTCATATGGATTAATTTTCTCCTTGTCGTGCCTTTGCAGGTTCTGCACAATGATTTGCCTGCAGGTGGTTGCTGCCCTATTTTTCTTGCCAGCCCTTCTTCCCAGCACTGCCTCAGGTGACCCGATCCCTGCTCTCATTCCTTAGTCCACACTGCTGCTACCCAAGCCGCAGTTCCGGCTCAGCCAGTCCTGGAGCTGACAATGCACTGCGATGAGGCGTGTGGCCAGCGAGAGGTGAGCCTGGTCCCCCAGGATTTCCAGGACCACCTGTCCTCTGAGACTGTGTATGCCAGAGGTATCCTCACACTTACCACAGTGGAGCTGGGCCCATTTGTGGGCAGCATGGAGAGGCAGAGGCACAGATGGGCGATTTTCTCTCAGCGGGCACCGTTTTCTGCTGAACTTCCCCTTCTCTGCTGCAGTCAAAATCTCCACAGGGTGCACTGGTGTGTGGTGTCTGAGCACCACGTGCTCACCGCTGCCCACTGCAGCCATGATGGCAAAGACTATATCAAGGGCGCCACGAAAATCAAGGTGGGCTTCTTAACACGGGCCCAGAACACTGGGAGTGAGACTGAGCTAGGGAAGCTGGTGATGCACTGAGCGCTGGTGAAGTGCACACAGGTGCCCAAGGGCTGGATCTGGGGCTCTGATTCCATCAACACAGGGATTATGCCCTGCTGGGGCTGTGCAGACCCCATCCGTGCCCCTACATGATGCTGATGGTGGTACTGGCAGTGGAGGACATGGCTGGGAAGAGGATCCATTTCTCTGGGTTTGACAGTGACTGGCCTGGCGAGCTGGTTTACCAGTTCTGTGGTGTGGAGGATGAGACAGCCCACCTCAACTACCAGCACTGTGATGCCAGGCCTGGTGCCTCTGGGGTCTACGGCAAGATGTGGGACCCCAAGCAGCACAAGTGGGAGAGGAAGGTCATTGGGATCTTCTCAGGTCACAAGTGGCTGGGGAGCAGCATGGCTGTAATGTGGCCGTTCGCTTCACAGCCCCCAAGTTTTGCTTAGATTTGTTACTGGATCAAAGGAGATTATACCAACTGTTAGAACGAGTGAGCTGGGGCCTTACCCACCATCCACCCCAGAGACCATGTTTGCGGGCTTCCTGCCACTGAGCCTGCCCTGTCCTTGGGGTCTGCACAGGCGTGTGAAGAGGGTCAGGGACCCACTGCTGAATGGGGATGAGCCTGTGCTGTTTCCTAGCAAGGCAGCTACACTACCAAGCCTCATCCTACTTGTGTCTCGGGAAGTCTGTAAGTCCCTTGGGATCAACTGGGGAAAGGCACCCCATGGCAGGATCAGGATCACAGTCACAACTTTCCCCCTCTCCTCCAGCCCCAGGCAACATTCACTTAAGGGCAATTACAATCAAGCTTTTCCTTCCCATGCAGCTCAGCGTGGACAAAGGTGCACTTCTTTCTCTGCTTTCCCTGGGGCTGGTGGGTGTGAGGAGCCTGTGGCAATGTGCACACAAAGGCTGGGCTCTCTTTGTTCCCGTGGCATTCAGTCCATGGTGCTTGGCCAGGTTCTAGTTCCACTGCATGAGCAGAGGAAGATGCACAGTCCCCGTTTCCAAAAGGGCTGGTGGGTAGTTTGAGACCCTGTGGCGGAAGTTAGTGTGATCTGTGTCCCCCAGCATCTTGGTTCTGCAAAAGCAGTCTGGCCCTTGGTCACTGAAAAGAGATCTCCTGCTTTCAATGTGTTACTTCTCAAGACTGGGAGGAGCAGTCTCCGTGTTTGCTTCTGAGCTGCGTGGAATTTCTATTGGGTCCTGGTGAAAATTTCTGTTGGTGTGCTGGTGAAAGGGGCCTGAATGGCAGTCCTGGAGACTGACTCTTCTATGCACAGCAAGGAGCTCAGCTGGGGTGGGAATGAGGCCAGTCTCCATGGCTCATCCAGTCATTGCCCTCTGATGACACTATCAGTGAGGCCAGTTCTAATTGGTGTAGGATGGTGTGATGTAAACACCTGTTCACTAAGAACTGGACTGAGACCCACCTCCCCTCCACTCCCACCATCTTTTCCCCAGAGTAGGGCTCCCAAGTCTTTATCTACTGGTAGTGGCCCTTACTGTTAATGTAATGTTTGTGATGGATCCCTCTAGGCTAATATATATCTAAATAAATGAGAGTACGGATTTCTCCTTTGCATCATGCATGAAATGGGAAGGGAACTCATCTGTCTGGACTAGCAACCTTCCAGAGGTGCTGTTCCTACAGAGCAGGAACCGTCAGAAACTTCACTGCACGGTATGGTGCTGCTTCCTGAGATTATGCCACCCGAGGAGTCTGTCCTGGATGTTCAGGGACTCTGCTAATGAAGGCGCAGGGCTGCTGTGCTATAGGGGGAGCCCTGAGACACTCCCTGTCCTGACAACAGTGGGGAAGGGGGCTTGGGCGTAGCACCACTCATGTTTATGGCACTTTACAGAGAAACAAAGACAGTGTCTGCTCCCAGTAGCTTATAATCGAGGAACACTGATGCTTCCAACAACTGCTCAGGCTGCTGTAGATTTCCAGCTGCTCTCTCCTATCACATAGAAGGGACCTCATGGGTCACAGCCACTCCTCCATGGGTGAGTGGCATCGGGTTAGAGAAGGGTTATTCCCTGTTGTACATTTGATCCTGTGAAGTTCTACTCCTTGTCCTGGGAGACACTCCTACAGCCTGACAGCTGTGAGAGAGATTCTCCCTGACACTCTGCTTCTGTTTTCCTATAAGTGGCTGTGCCTCCCTAAACACTTCTTGGGTGATTATCCCTTAGTCATCAAGGCTGTTGGGTAACTCAGTGTAACCACAGCTTAGTTTGGATGCCTGGTCATGTCCTGCCACTGAATAGGACAGAGGCAGCCCCTGCTTCCTCTGAAGCTCAGAGGCCATGAGCTGCTCTAAAAATATGTGATCTAATGCAAAAGAAGAATGCTCAAATAAATTGGTTAGTCTCTAAGGTGCCACAAGTACTCCTTTTCTTTTTGTGAATACAGACTAACACGGCTGTTACTCTGAAACCTGCAAAAGAAGAGACCCTTGTGACACCTCATTATGCAGGGACAAGCAATTGGTGCTTACATGACCTCAAACCAACTCACAGTCAAGGCTTGACTTACGTAGAGTCACTGAGCAGAACTTGTTGTCGACAGCACTTACTGAGTTTCACCTTTGCGGTTCCTTGCTCCTGAGGGCTCCTCAGACCCCAGTCACAAGTTAGAGCAACCTTGGCCATGCTCCTTCACAGGTCTCAAACTTGAGGAGCTACGGGAACTCTTCACTAGGGTGATTCTCCTGTATCCAGCTAAACTGGCTTTTAGCACAGCAGTAGGCTTGCAGCTCCTGCTTCTTGATCTGGCCTCAAGTGCACTCTGGGCATTCATGATGATTCATATACTCTGTTACAAGACTTGGCACTGACTGCGATGGTAGGAAATGGGGAGACTTCCCAGCATTCGCTGATGTGGGGAACTGTGGGCTGAGTCTTCATCTTATTACAAGCAGGTGACTAAGTTTACCAATGCTTTTCATCTGGTGACAAACCAGCTACTAGCACAGAGTGCAATGGGAAGACAAGTGAGGCCAGCATCAAAGGGAAGACCCAAACAACAGCATGCAAGACTCATCTCCCCCACTGTGGTCAGATGAGAGCAGCTCTGACCTGCCAACAGGAGGTGTCCACCAGAAACCCTGCCACATACCCAATGGCAATGAAGCACAAACTGCAGTAGGTACAGGACTCAACATTTATTTAAAAAACCCAAAGACACAAACAAAACCATGGTGTAATAGTGAGGCTCTGCAACAGCCAGGTAACACCACAGGTACAGCAAGGACTAAGACACTGCAGGACTGACTAAGCTAAGGGCCAGGAGTGCAGACAAGCACTCGCAAGTGACCAGTAAGATCTTGCTTTGCTTCTCTAACTTATACCAGCAACAATGCTTTAGAGCACCAGACAAGATTGTAAATTACATATTTTAAACTCCTGCCCCTACCGCAGAGCTGCACAAGCAGCCAGGAGGGCTTTGACGGCTGTTGTATTTCTCAGAAATCTGTGCTCTAAAGCAACCAGCTGTAATGACAACTGGAGGCAGAAGTCTGAGCGTGACATGCTGCACTTATTCTTAGTGAGAAATCCTGTAGAGTTGGCCGCTCTATTTTCTTGCTGCCCTGTATCAGGGCAGAACAGCCATTCCAGCCCAGAAGATATAAAGAATGAACAAATGTCAAACAGCCAGTCTAAGGGGGATTGCCTTTTGCTGAAACTTGGCTTCCACTCCACATCCCCATCCAAAGGGCCAGGACAGGACTAGCTGCGGAGAGACACAGCCCCTCTATGTGCTAGGACAGATTAGGCAATTAGTAGATTATAGTCTGGTGATTGGTTTTCTGCATCTGAATGATCTTGCCAAAGCCACCTCTTCCCACATCATAGTCTGTCCGGTACTCATCTCGCACCTGAGGCAAAGCAACAACACAGAAATTAGCATTCTGCACCTGCCTAGACACAGACATTCTAAGAATCAGCATCCTCTTCCCACTCCATTGGTGGTGGGTTACAAGCCCTTGCAACTCCCTGAAATATCTTGCCAAGGAACCATTATCAAGGTGACTAATGAGAAGATCTCACATTTCTAATGGTGGGATCATCTTTAGCCATAACAAAGCAACAGGGAAGGGCAAAACACTGCTTGATTTTGCTTTGCAGTTCACCTTTATGAATCACCAAGGCTTGAGCCCAAAGCTGGAAACCTGGGCAGAAATGTGGGAAGGAATCTTACCTTCTGATTGGTGGGTACTGTTTGATGATTAGACAAGCCTTACAACCATGCCATCCCCATTATTATCCTGTTTCTCACTCCCCACCTTGAGTCCTGCACCCTTTTGAGAAGACTAGGTTGAGGAGAGAGCAACGTTTCCTTTGGGCCATAGGAAGCTTGGGATCCAAACTTGCAAGTGACATTAAGCACCACGCTCCAACTCTAGTGCTACTATATAATCAGCTCTTCGAACGACTTTGGATTAACTTCAGTTCGTTACTGGGTCCGCCACGCACGTCCGCCTTCGTACTGGATCAGGCAAAGGTAGCACACCCCAGCCCCAAGGAAGCCAGGCTCAGTGCTGATGCTAGTACTCCTTTTACCTGTCCTCCAGTCTTTCCTCTCCCAAATTGTCGTCCCTCCTTAAACCCTGCATCCCAGTCAGTCCTGATGATCCGGTCATCCAGCCGAGTGCCATTGATAAACCTCATTGCATGCTCAGCATCTGCTCTTGTGTAATATCTGGAATTTGTTATAAGGAAGACTCCAAGTGTTGTTAAGCTGGTGAACCCCAGCTGCTCATGAGCAAAGAGGAGGAGAATGGTATTCACAGCACGGTGGAGTCCGGCCTCCCAAGCCAATAGACACCAGTATTCTTGACAGAGCCAACGGCTCTATTTACAGCCATCTGATTCTAGCTCCCTCCTTGCACAGCAACATGCTGCACCTTTGTACGGTAGTACCAATGCAGAGAAGGAAGTAGCGGGGCATCTCTCACATCAGAAAGAGATGAAGCAAGCAGGACAAGCCTGCCATCAGGTTGCTAAGTGCATTTGTTTTGGGGTCAGGATCTTCTGAATGGTTTTGAGGATTCGAACCTGCACTGGTCCTGTTTCCAGCCTTGCTTATGTAACAGTTTAACAATCCTCTTTATTCTACACTAGAGTCTACAGGGTGAATGGAAAGGGGAGAGGCCTAACCCAAGAGGCTCTGCAAGGATAGCTGCCTGTTAGACTGGGCCAGGAAAGTAGCCTGTGCCTAAGGAGAGCCAGGATCATGAATTCTTCATTAAAGGGCGATTGCCAACAGCTTGTCTTGGCTGGCCCCTCCTTGACAATCTCTGCTGCGATTGCTGCTGCTAAAGAAACTGGGGTTGTAAAACTGATAGTTTATACATCCATATTTTATTGGTTAAAATCAAGGTAAAGTACAAAAAACCCACACAAGGCTATTGTACTAGCCCAAGGGTCGGCAACTAATGGCATGCTGCTGCCTGCTGGGTCCCAGCCGCCCGCCCCGCTCAGCCCGCTGCCAAACCCAGGCTGGGACCCTGGCAGGCAGCAGCGTGCCATTAAAAATCCTGCCCGCCCTGGCCCGCTCTTCTCCGCCCTCGCCCCTAGCAGGGGAAGGGTGAAGAAGCTTGGTCCTGCCGGCTGCTGCTGCAGGGCAGGCGAGCTCCCTGCCTCTTCCCCCAGCATGCTGGGTTCCTGCCCCTCCTCCTCTCCCTGGATCAGCTGATGGCCCTTGCAAGGGAGGGGGAGAAGTGGAGCCGGGGAGGAGATGGAGAAGAGGTGGGGACGGGGTCTCGGAGAAGGGAGGTGGAATCAGGGCATATCCCCTCCAGCCCCCGGCAGTGAGCCGCTCTGGGCAGGGGGCTGGGAGCACCCCCACACTCCCAGCCCTCTGCCCTGACCCCTGCACCCCCCCCCCCCATTCCCAGCCCTCTGCCCTGACCCCTGAACAACCCCAGCCCTGACTCTTGCACCCCCACATTCCCACCCCTCGCACCAAACGGGAGCTCCTGCACCCCTCGCACCAAATGGGAGCTGCCCACGTAAGCACTCCACACCCAAACCTCCTGCCCCAACCCTGAGCCCCCTCCCTCATTCTAGTTCCTGGCCAGATCCTGCACCCTAACCCCCAGCCTGCTCCTTCACCCCCAGCCCTGTGCTCAGTGCACTCCCACCCTTAGCTCAGTGCAGAGAGAGAGGAAGATAATGGGCTAGAACCAGGGAGAAGGCAGGTACCCACTCTATATGCAAAGGGCTGGGATGCCAGACTGGCAGCGGGCTGAGAGTGGCTGGCAGCTGGGACCCTGGCTGGCAGGAGCCAGCGGATAGAACCCCAGACAGGCAGCGGGCTGAGTGGCAGCAGGCTGAGTCGCTCAGCCCACTGCCAGTCTGGGGTTCTGGCTGCTGGCTCCTTGCCAGCTGGGGTCCCGGCCGCAGGCCCCGCTCAGCCTGCTGCCAGCCTCGGTGAATGGAACCCCAGGCTGGCAGCGCAAGATCAGCATTTTAATTTAAAATGAAGCTTCTTAAACATTTTGAAAACCTTGTTTACTTTACATACAACAATAGTTTAGTTATATAATACACAGACTTACAGAGACCTTCTAAAAAACATTAAAATGTATCACTGGCACGCGAAACCTTACATTAAAGTGAATAAATGAAGACTCGGCACACCACTTCTGAAAGGTTGCTGACCCCTGTACTAGCCCATTCATCTATAGAATGAATGGGCTGAGGAAGGTACAGCTAGATGGTCTTAACACCTGGTGAAATTCTCTGGCCTCTGCTATGCAGGAGATCGGATTAGATAAGCACAATGATCCCCTCTGGCCTTAAAATCCATTAAATCAATTTAAGAGATGGAAATAAAGGGACCAAATGGTGTGGAATCCCTGTGACACACACAAAAAATACAAGAGGCTGTCCCATTGTTTTAATTTTCATTGCAAGCACCACAGCAATGTCTATGACTGAGGCAGCGTGGGAGAGAGAAAGTAGACCCTGTAAAGGGAAGGAAACTGTTTGGTACTGTGACGTTGAGAGTTCACAACTTTCATGCTTGCCAAACATATCACGCTGCATACCCAGCTCCTCCAGAAAGGCCAGGAACACTCTGTAACATGTTCAAGAGAGATGTATAGGATGACGTGATTCAATCAAAGAGCACTGGGAGAAAAACCATTGCAACAGTAAATGACAAAGGATACTCCACAAAGCAGAAGCCACAAGGGGTTTTCTTGACCTTGTCCAGCCCCATGACAATCCTCTTGACATCTCCGCATTTGGAGAAGAGCTCCTGGATCTGCTCCTCAGTGGTGTAAAAGGACAGGTTGCCCACATACAGTGTGGACGAGAACTTCAGGGCCTTCTCCTGTAGGTACCGGCTACCCTGAGAGCACAACGAAGAATAAGTGCAGCCTGAGTGACCTGCTCTTCAGTGGGTGCTTGACCCACAGAGGCTGTGTGACCATTACACGTGCCCATTTGGGGACCCCCACCTTCAACTCCAGCTACTCCTACTCGGAGTTCTGGAGTGCCTGGGTTCAAGATGGCAAAATTGGCAATCACTGAATCAGGCGCAGGAATGTCCGGACTGCGCCCCACGCACTGCTCCCTGTCCCAGAGACCCCTGCCTCCCTGAGGCACCTCCCGCCCCCCGTGCTGTACTTGCCCTGGGCTCCCCGCAGGCTCTGCCCCCCACACTGTGCACCCCCCGCCCCTCCCTCAGGCTCTGCCCCTGCCCCCCCCCGGCGCTGTGCACCCCCGCCCCTCCCGCAGGCTCTGCCCCTGCCCCCCCCGCGCTGTGCACCCCCGCCCCTCCCGCAGGCTCTGCCCCTGCCCCCCCCCGCGCTGTGCACCCCCCGCCCCTCCCGCAGGCTCTGCCCCTGCCCCCCCCCCGCGCTGTGCACCCCCGCCCCTCCCGCAGGCTCTGCCCCTGCCCCCCCCGCGCTGTGCACCCCCTGCCCCTCCCGCAGGCTCTGTCCCTGCCCCCCCCCGCTGTGCACCCCCGCCCCTCCCGCAGGCTCTGCCCCTGCCCCCCCGCGCTGTGCACCCCCGCCCCTCCCGCAGGCTCTGCCCCTGCCCCCCCGCGCTGTGCACCCCCTGCCCCTCCCGCAGGCTCTGTCCCTGCCCCCCCCCCGGCGCTGTGCACCCCCGCCCCTCCCGCAGGCTCTGCCCCTGCCCCCCCCGCGCTGTGCACCCCCGCCCCTCCCGCAGGCTCTGCCCCTGCCCCCCCCGGCGCTGTGCACCCCCCGCCCCTCCCGCAGGCTCTGCCCCCCCCCCCCCCCGCGCTGTGCACCCCCCCGCCCCTCCCGCAGGCTCTGCCCCTGCCCCCCCCGGCGCTGTGCACCCCCCGCCCCTCCCGCAGGCTCTGCCCCTGCCCCCCCGCGCTGTGCACCCCCGCAGGCTCTGCCCCCCCCCCCCGCTGTGCACCCCCGCCCCTCCCTCAGGCTCTGCCCCTGCCCCCCCCGCGCTGTGCACCCCCCCTCAGGCTCTGCCCCCCCGCGCTGTGCACCCCCCGGCTCTGCCCCCCGCACTGTGCACCCCCCCGCGCTGTGCACCCCCGCAGGCTCGCCCCCCGCTGTGCACCCCCGCAGGCTCGCCCCCCGCACTGTGCACCCCCCGCAGGCTCTGCCCCCCCGCACTGTGCACCCCCTCAGGCTCTGCCCCCCCCCGCTGTGCACCCCCCAGGCTCTGCCCCCCGCGCTGTGCACCCCCCTCAGGCTCTGCCCCCCCCCCGCTGTGCACCCCCGCAGGCTCTGCCCCCCCGCGCTGTGCACCCCCTCAGGCTCTGCCCCCCCGCTGTGCACCCCCGCAGGCTCTGCCCCCCCGCAGGCTCTGCCCCCCCCGCAGGCTCTCTCCCCGCGCCCCTCACTGGGCTCCCCAGTCCCTGTCCCGCCCCCCGAGGCCCGGGCACCGATCGCCTCCGGCCGGCCGGCGCACCCGGAAGTGCTGGTCCCGGTACTGGCTGATCTCGCAGTAGGAGTCGCTGTTGAGGCCGCTCAGCGTGGCGCTCAGCACCCCCGACATCCCGGCCCCGGCTCCCCGGAACCTTCCAGAACCAGCGCGGGTCCGACTGCGGGAGGGGGAAGGGCCGAGAACCCCCATTGGCTTAGCGCCTGCCACTCATCGCGAGGAGGTCGGGCCGGCAACCTCATTGGAGAGAGACACGGGGTCGGCCGTCCATCATGCCCTGCAAAGCCAATCAGAGCGCTCGGCTCGGCAGCTCCCGCCAATAAAGGAGAGGCGGGCCTAGCGCCCCGCCCCCTCTGGGAGCTGTAGCGTCCGGGGCCGGCCGCACGCCAGGCGGGGAACTACAGCTCCCAGCGTTCCGCACGCGGCCGGCCGGGCGGGAAACGGCGCCTGGCTGCGGCGGCGCGAGGCGAGTGCGGCCGCCTCGGCCCGCCCGCGAGGCGCCTGGGCCGCGAGCGGCGACGGGGCCCGGGGGAGGCGCTGCCGCGGGGGCTGCTGCGTTAGGACCGCAGCGCGGGGCTCTGGGCTGCTCGCCGTCAGGGAGCGCTGCCCGTAGGGCCCGCCGCCGGGCTGGGTGCTGGGGGGCAGTGGGGAGAAGCGCCGTGCCCCTGGGCGGGCGGGGGTGGGTGGGGCAGAGCGAGGGGCGGCCACGAGCAGGGCCGTGCCCCTGGGCGGGGGGGGGGGTGGGGCAGAGCGAGGGGAGGCCACGAGCAGGGCCGTGCCCCTGGGCGGGGGGGGGGTGGGGCAGAGCGAGGGGAGGCCACGAGCAGGGCCGTGCCCCTGGGCGGGGGTGGGGCAGAGCGAGGGGAGGCCACGAGCAGGGCCGTGCCCCGGGGCGGGGGTGGGGCAGAGCGAGGGGAGGCCACGAGCAGGGCCGTGCCCCTGGGCGGGGGGTGGGGCAGAACGAGGGGCGGCCACGAGCAGGGCCGTGCCCCTGGGCGGGGGGTGGGTGGGGCAGAGCGAGGGGAGGCCACGAGCAGGGCCGTGCCCCTGGGCGGGGGGGTGGGGCAGAGGGGGGAGGACGAGGGGCTGCCGGGCGGGGGTGGGGCAGAGCGAGGGGAGGCCACGAGCAGGGCCGTGCCCCGGGGGGGGGGGTGGGGGGGGGGGGGGGGCGGGGCGGGGGTGGGTGGGGCAGAGCGAGGGGAGGCCACGAGCAGGGCCGTGCCCCGGGGCGGGGGGGTGGGTGGGGCAGAGCGAGGGGCGGCCACGATCAGGGCCGTGCCCCTGGGTATGGGGGAGTGGGGCAGAGCGAGGGGCGGCCACGAGAAGCACCACACATCCAGGTAGGGGGGGGACGACAACAGGAGATGCATCGTGCCCCTGGGCAGGGTGTCAAGGGACAGAGCTGAGTGGAGGGAGAGGCCAGGAGAAGCACCAGGGTGTGTTCCCAGGATGCTCTTTGTTTTCCCTTGGTGTTGTATGTCAGACATGCTGGCGGCAGGGGGGCAGTCTCGCTGTCCATGATCAGCCCAGCTGTGTGCCAGGACAGTCGCCTTCCCCCTGGGCTGGGACAAGCACTGTGGTACAATAAATGCGTTAATGTGATCCCTACCACCCCATTGTTCCCTGGCCTGGCTGAAGAGCTGCTGGCTAGACCCTTCTCCAGATTCCCTTTGGCTCTGTTTAAAGAAAGAGTGCACAATGGTCCATAAGCTACTTAAGTGTCCCTCTAAATGCAAGAACTAAGAATTACACAGAGCTTTGATTACTTGTGTAATATTTCATCTGTGGTCTATGCATACCTGTCAACCTTGTGAGTCCCAGATGTTACTCCTGGGGGGAATTCTGTGCCAAACAACAACAAAAAATTTGTGAACACAATATTTTCAAATTCTGCATATTTTATTTGTCAAAATAACACAATGTAATCACATCAGTTTCAATTATTTTTGGTGATTAATTTCAAAGTACCTGTCAACAAGTATGTCTGTAACAATACAGACAACAAAAAAGATTCAGGAAATGTTTTTTGACAAATGGATTCTTTATTAGGCATATTAATACAGAACTCTGAGTAAATAAATCATTTAAACTACAATATAGAGCCATATTTCCCGCACCACTCAGCAGCAGTGCAAAGGTTTGGGGAAGTCAGGAGTAACAAAGGAGCTGAGAGAGAGAGAAGTAATTGCTGGGAAGGAGCCTGGGTGTGAACTTGTAGGGCTGTTGGGTATGGGTGGGAAAAGTATGGAAGATTTGGTGGCGGGGCTGGGAGGGATTGTTAGGGATCTTCCCCCATGCAGATCCTGGCTGACCCCTAGCCTCTCCCATTAAATCAGGCACATCTGTCCCTGCACCCCCATTGTTCCTTGCACCACCTGTCGATGTGTCCTTCCAGCCCCACTCAGACACCAATTCCCCCCATCCCCATGTGGCCCTGCACCTCCACTCCCACTCAGCCTCTCTCCCGGGCTGTCCTCCCCACTAGCCCTTATGAGACCCTGTTTATGACGCCCCCCACCCCCGGCAGGCCCATCCTGTTTGTCTCCCCATATTCCCCAGTATCTTGACCTGGCCTGACAGGCATTGTGAAGAAGGCAGGTTCTTTCTCTTCCCTAGCTGGTTGGGAGCTGCTGCTCTGTTCTGGTGCCATAGCACCCTCTGGTGGGCAAAAAGCAGAACTGCAGGAACTTTTCGGCAGAAGCTTTTTTCTGTGCAAAAAATTAAAAATATGGGTGGCTCATTTAATTATGCATGTACAGTGGCGTAGAATTCCCGCAAGAGTAAGATATGAGACAAGAATTAAAAATGGGAGAGTCAAAAATAGCCAATCAGAAATGTGGCAGAGCATTTAACATAAATCACAATTTCTGTAACTTTGTTCCTGAATTAGAATTTTTGCAGTAAATCACTTGTGGTAATGGAAGTGAGGAAATAGCAAGTAGATGTTTGGATAATGGTAAAAATGTGTCTAAAGGGATGCTGCGTCTATTGAAGTCAATGGTAAAATACCCTTGACTTCAGTGGGAGTGAGATCAGGCTTATAATAAGGAATAGATGAGAGGTATAGGCCTGTGTAGTAGAAAAGTTGCATATATGGCTTTTAAAATAATTTTGTGTGTGTATGTTAAAGGACTTGATTCAACGCTTTAGAAATGAAGGGGGAATCTCACTTACTGGAAATTAAAGGTACAAATCAATAATCTTTGAAAAACTAAACTTTTAGTCCATAATTGTGTAAATAATTCAGTGCTACACATGCATATTTTGTGTATCATGAGGGAAGCCATAGGGAATAAAAGCCTCATTCCCAGGTTTTTCTAATTATAGTCAGGAAAATCTGACTCTTCCTGGTGATATGCTTTGTCTTGGAGCCTGAATGTCAGGGAAGGCTTGATTAGTAAGAGCTAGATGCACTGTGGAAGGACGGTTTTCTTAGGCAGCTAGGGAGAATAACATTTCTGGCCCTGAATAAATGCTTGAGATTAGTTTAGTGTGGGCTGTAAAGGTTTTGTCTAGCCCCATGCCCAGTAAAGTGAGCACACAAGTACAGAGGAGAAACAGGGAAGGAAATATCAAGCATGCTGTCCAATTTGCAGTCCATAATAGCCACTTGATGACTGTCTTCAGCCGAAGAAAAACAAATCACATTATATAACTTGCAAACAAAGAATGTGTGATTAGGCTTGATGTGCTAGAAGAACTGTTCACAGTCAAAGAAATTTTGGAGACAGGCTGGAGTTTTATTAGAAAAAATATAATAAATATATATAGTCAGCTTTCTGTGAAACCCCACAAAATGGCCTTGCATGGTGCTGAAGAAGCCCTCCTCTTTCAGTTAGGACATTTCAACAAAACTTGTTTTGCTTTTTCCAGAAGTTGTTTTTGGTGACTTTATAGGTTAAATTTATTATCTATTATAATATATTTTTTATTTTTTATTTATTATTATTATTTATTAGTATTTAGTTGGGTAAAAACAAATATCTGTAGTGAATAAAAAATGTTCCTGCCCTGCATCTGACTGAAGGTTGTTCTCAGCAAGGCAGAGGTATCTTATTTTCCTTGTACTGTGCTTAGCTAATCAGTGCTCGAAAAGCAACTGGTTAGTGGGTAAAATAACACTTGAATAATTACAGAACTAGAGACAAGGGAGACATTGAGAGGTTTTTGTTTCTCAAACCTGTACATGGAGAAGTTTTTACATTATGATGAACACCACATATTGAAAAGGGAGTGAGGGCCTTCCATTGATTGGAAACCCAGTAAAGCGATCTAATTCTCTCTATATTCAGTGACTGGTTAATACAGCAGCTAATTGAGTTTGTCAGTTTTCCTTTTAAACCAGGGGAGGAATTTAGAGACCCAGAATAGCAGTTTTATTTGTTTTTGTTTTTTAAATCATATGCTTCATAACAGATTGTATGGGAGTTTCAGGATTCTAGGTTCAGTCTATCATAAGAATTGTGACATTCCTTTCAGCCTTCTTAATAAAAGCACTGGCTTTAACTCACTCACAGTAAAGTTACTGAATGCAGGTTTCATGCAACATTGTACTGTTAGAGAGTGCCAAAGGGTAAAAGTCATTTAGAATGGAAACAAAAGACACTGTCAGGAAAGAGATATTTTTTTAGCAAATTAAATGTTGGGCCAAAAGTTGCTCTCGTTGCCTGGATTCAACTCCATGTAAGTCAACAGATTTAATTGATGCAGCTCACCAGAATTTAGCCTCATTGCTTACGTAAAAACTTCCTTTAGGTTTCAGAATTATTTCTTATGAGCTGTTTTATTTATCTTCCCTCAGGCTCTGCCTTCGCTGTGTGTTTATTTAGTAGACAGAAGGATATGGAGAAAATGTAAACTGATTGTTTTCTCTTGTTCAGACATTCACAAATGATGTGCTGCTCTTAATCTTTGTGTGAAGTTCACTGCATTGCTGTCTTTTGTTTGTCTTTTTTTCAGTGCTGATTCAAGAGCTGGTGAAAAAAGACACCTCATCAAATGTAACTGAGATCATTGACAAACTGTTCAGTGAGATAGAATGTGTGGATAACGAGGCTGGGAATGAGATTCATGAGGTTCAGGTAGAAGGCTGGAAATAATTGCTGAGAACACTGGGTGTTTAAAAACAATCTAATCTTGTGGCTGAGGTAAAGGTGAACAGCTCTGTGTTGGCCATGTAACACAATTTGAATGCCTATTGGCCAGTGCAGATAATGAGTACAGCTGGTTCTGACACTTCCTTAGAATATGTTCTATTCACATTTTTATAAAAGTATGAAGCATACAGTATAACATTTCTTTTTTATATCTCCTTCAGCACATTTGAAGAAAGTCAAGATATTTCTGACACATTAATATAAAACATGAGGCATATTAAAGTAATAACTTCTTAAATAAAGGAGTACTTGTGGCACCTTAGAGACTAACTAATTTATTTGAGCATGAGCTTTCGTGAGCTACAGCTCACTTCTTAAATGTTCTGTAACAAAATATCCAGGGGCCATATTAGCAACTGGCAGGAGATGTTTATTATATAGTATGGTAGGGTTCCAGCAACTCCTCAGACCAGATTAATTTCCTTTCATTTGGAAAGAGAATGCCATATACTTAGTTCTAACATTACTGACATATAACATTCCTTCGTAAATTTTCTTTATACTGAGCGGGCTGCAAACTGCACTGAGCATTATATTTTTGTTCTTGGGCAAGCTTATGCTTTTTTGTGTGTATTAAATAATAGAGACAAATCCCTTACCAAACTGTATGAGAGTAGACACAATGGATTGTAATTGCTTTTTAAAGAGATTAGTCTATTGTGTTAATGAGTATTTCAAGAGTGTTTAAAGTATGGATTATGTAAATGTGTTTTGAGGACTTTAAAAATGTATTGACAGGGCCTACTACAATAGGGTATCATGTAAATATGTGAGTTTGGCCCAGCCCTCCCTGCCGATTTTCCCCCCTCTGCACCTTTTAGCCCGAGTGAACAGCAGAGAGCACAAATGTGTTTCCGACTGAGGGCAGAGTAAGGCTAGCTTCAGCAGATACTACTGAGCTTGTTCAGAATCATGCATGCTCAATATATGGTACCAGGTCCATTTAAAACAAGTGACTTTTTGCTTGTTTTGGGGCAGTTGGGTTGGCATTTTTATGCAGTCACGCCCCACAGGTTTTTCTGCTTGTCTTGTGACTGCTTCTGCTTTTTTTTCTTTTTTTTAACTATGCTCCCCCCCTCCGTGGATGTTTTTTGACACAAACTCTGCCCAGCATCATGGCATCCTGACACAAACCCTGCCCAGCATAATGACGCAACCCCCACCATCCACTTATATTTTTTGGCTTGTTTTTGGGTGGTACTCTGGCGAGTGCTTTGTGTATACAGGCATGGCTGTGCTTGTGTGCAGCTTACAAGGAACATTGTTGACATGTGAATGAGATATTATGAAAGTCCTGAGCGCATAACAACTGGGGCCTGTTACAGTGGAAATCTTTTGGAGGTTCAGCACCTTAGATCAGTAGTATATACATAAGGGGACACGCAAGGGTCTTGACTGTTTTCAGCCTCAGCCCTGTTCCCCTTCTGAAAATGCTACTTTTGCCTTTTCAGTTTGGACTCACTCTTATGAGAGCAACCTATTGTTAATTAAACATTTACTTTAGAAATTTGATGTGAAACCAAATATTTCCTACTATTGATTTGTATTGATTCATAGATGAATAACTTTTAAGGCTAGAAGGAACCATTCTGACCATTTATTCTGACCTCCTGCACAACAAATTGCATCCTGTGATTTCTGTATCAAGCCCATAACTTCTGGCTGAGCTAGAGAGTATATCTTTTAGAAAGACATCACTCTTGATTTTAAAGACATCAAGTGATGGAAAATATACCATGTCCCTTGGTATGTTGTTCCAATGGCTAATTACCCTTACTTAAAAATATGTGCCATATTTCCAGTCTGAATTTGTATAGGTTCAACTTCCAGCTGTTGGATCTTTTGCTAGAGTAAAGAGCCCCTACTGTCAGAAGTCTTCTCCCTGTGTCAGAATTTATTCACCATAATCAAGTCACCTCTTAACTTTCTTTTTGATCAACTAAGTAGATTGACAGGTTTCAGAGGAACAGCCGTGTTAGTCTGTATTCGCAAAAAGAAAAGGAATACTTGTGGCACCTTAGAGACTAACCAATTTATTTGAGCATGAGCTTTCATGAGCTTTGTTCTGATGAAGTGAGCTGTAGCTCACGAAAGCTCATGCTCAAATAAATTGGTTAGTCTCTAAGGTGCCACAAGTATTCCTTTTCTTTTTAAGTAGATTGAGCTACTTAGGTCTGTCACTGTGAAAGGATTTTTAGACCTGAAGCCATTCTTACAGCTTTTTTCTGAACCTGTTCCAATTTTTCAACATCTGTTGGGAACTTTGCATGTTTTGAATATCCTTATTAGACTTTGAAAGACATTAATAAGTCAGTTGTATCTTAATGGCAATGAATATGCTATTGCACAAGGTTTGTGTATGTGAGATCATTTCATCCCAGATGGATGGAGTAAACCGAATCAAATGTTGACAAGTTCAGGAATGGGCTTGTTGTAAATGAGTGTAAGGATAATTGAGTAAAGTGATAGATGAAGTGGATCTGTTCAAGAAGATGCTTTAATGACACAAAACAAAGGATTTAAAATGTTTCTGAAATCTTGCATTTCACATACAGAATTCCCTACTGTGCACAATTTCAAATTATGGCTGAAGACACTGATGGCCAATGTGGGTATGTGTTGATGGGTGCTATTGCCATCAGTCTAATTAGATATTTTCAATTTTCAGAGTAGCATCCGTGTTAGTCTGTATCCACAAAAAGAAAAGGAGGACTTTTGGCACCTTAGAGACTAACAAATTTATTTGAGCATAAGCTTTCGTGAGCTACAGCTTTTCAATTGCAAGTCATGTCATTCTTTGATTTACACAGACATATAGATATTTACCTGTATATGGTTCTGTTACATCAAGAAGTTCAAATATGATCCAAATCAAGACAAAAAGGCAAATTCTAATGAAATTTTTTCTATCCTCCTAGATTGAAGAAAGTGCAATAAGCCTATGGAATTGGGCTGTGACTAACCGAGTAGATTCAGTCATCAATGATGAGCAAAGAGCGAAATGTATGTATGTGTTTTGTGTCCTAGATTAAAGTTCTTTTATATTGTAAAAGAAAAGCTCTTATGGTACTATTATTTTATTTAACATTTGTGTGTAGTGCCATAGGGTTGTGTGTATCTTTGCAGATAAAATGAAGGCAGAGAGTACTTTGCAGCTGCTTTGTGTAACCAACTAAGGAAGGATCACTCCAGAGCAAGGATGATCCTCTGGTGACAAAGTCAGTGTAGGAGCTGTGATTTTGCTCCCCTTTCCTGCTGCCTGTTGCAGTGAAAAGGGCTAAGACCGGAGGAAAAGAGCTATGTCTGGACTCATCTGCGCTTCACTAATCCTTGGCTATGTTTTCAGTCCATACATTTTTGGAAATAAACTGAACTGATATAAGTGTCTGGGCTGTGCGGGGCTGCACTGATAGAAGATGATATAGACCTCATGAGCTCTGTGCAGCTCAAATGCTTGTATCTTTCACCAACAGAATTTGGTTTAATAAAAGATATTACCTCACCCATATTGTATCTCTAATAAACCAGTTTAGTTAAATTGGTACAAAACTGTGTGTAGACAAATCCTAAGGATTCTGCAGACCTAAGGTTGATCTAACCTGGTGCAAGGCAAGTGGCCCTGCACAATGGGAGCATCATGATTGGTGGAGTGCAAAAGTGAGCTTTAAAGCCACCTTTGTATCTGCACCTTGACCTGCTCTCTCTGCAAATCTGCAGGACCCCAGTATCTGGTCCATAGTTTTTGCTGTAAGGGGCTCACAGTCTAAGTTATATACATAATGCAGGGAGAGATGATATTAGGCAAAGGGGAAGGAGGGAGGCTTACTAGTTCTAGGGCACAATCTCATCAGCTCTCATATCATAGTTAAAGGTGACCTGCAAAGGATATTTAAAAAAATTGGGGTTGTGTTCTTTTTTTACTTTCTGATGTATGAAGAAGAACTGAAAGATTTGTTCTGTTAGCTTTTAACTTTTGAAATATAAAGAACGTCAATCTTGTCTCTCTTGGTTTTGCCAGAGGATATTTTGGTGTTCTTTGAATGATTGCACAAATGTATTCATTTTTGGTGTTTGTGCGCTCAGCACACAGCCTTCAGAAACTTTTTTGCTCAGCAATACCCATTGGGCAGCTCAAACTCAGTTCCTTCTTACTGCCCACAAAGGTCATTGAAACTCTATTCTATATCAAAACAATTCTTCTCTTAGCCTTTTTGTACCATAGTGTCTGTGTATATATAGATAGTCTAGTTTTAAGTGTTGTTAGGATAGTTAGTAAATTTTAGTTCTGTTTGGGGGGGAAAATGACTTTTTTTTGGACTTGTTTCCCCATTTGTGGTTTTTCTATTTCTAGCATGGAGGTGCAGTATGCCCTGATTACTGGGTTTCCAGGTGTGTGCTTCTTCCTTCAGGCCTGTGCCAGTGAGCAACCCACACAATAGCTGCCTGAAGTGCTTGGGAGAGGCACACATAAACTACCGATTCCAGACTTGCAGAGAGTTCAAGCCTAGCATAAAGAGGCTAGGCTGAAATTCTTGCTGATGGGGTGGCGCTTAGGCCACTGTCAGAGTTGTGCTGGTCTGACTTGGTGCTGAGTGCTGCGGCTTTAGTAAGAAGCTCACTTCCAGCATTAGCAGAATCCTGGTATCATTCTCCCTTGCCTGTACTGAGGAAAAAGTACAAGGCTTCCAGACAGGCATCTGCCAAGAGAAGATCTCCACCAGCTTAGGCTGCTAAGAAATTTGAGAAGGAGTCGAGTAGAGTGCACCTGAGATCTAAGCACTCTTCCTCCAAATCTGCTTAAATCATCACAGTTGGCCTCAGTGCTGCAAGGGGCACTGTTGAGCCTGGTGTTGGAAGAGGCAACGTCAACTTCTTTGGCACTGCAACAAGAGATCAGTTCAGTGCTGACTACTTTGGAGGCGTCTGTGGTGGCAAGAAACCTGCCTTGTCTTTCACTGCTGGCATCTCCATCCTTGCAAGAGTCTGTCTTTCACTGCTGCTAGTGATTCCACCTTGGGTGCCATCCAAGGGAAAGCCTGCTGTGATGGCTTCACTCTGCCCATTGTCTGTCTCCTGGTACTGGTCCCAGGCACCAACTGGATCAGCTCCACCATAGTTAGAGGAAGGGAATCTTCCTTGCTGGACTCGAAGGTGGGGGTCATATGTATCTCAACCCTGAAGCAGGAACCAATGGTCTCCACACAGTTCCTCTCTTCCCATTTACCACTTTGACTCTTCAATGGCACCTCCCATGGGAATGTGGCCAGGTCAGTGGCCATTTTGGAACACTTGGGGTTTTCCCCGAAGTCCAGATCATCTCCACATCTTGCATACTCAGTGCCCATGTCTAGAAGGACTGACTCTATGCACCGAATGGCTCCATCCCCAGAGTCTGGTATCGGGGATCAAGAGGAGGTTTCAGAGCCAGAACAATAGCCAGAGGAGGAGATTCTACCTCCTCTCCAGATGATGAGGCCATACTGTCTGGCAAAACTTCACCTCCTTCTGATGATTTTAAAGTTTATCAGGAGTCGCTAAAGAGAGTGGATGCAGATTTTAGTTTACAGGTCAGAGGTCAGTGAATCTTCACATCACCTGGTTGATGCTTTATCATTGGTGGGTCCCTCCAGGATAGCTCTGTCTATTCATGAGGCAATATTAGAGATTATAAAGGCTCTATGGCAGACTCCATCTTCACTGCCTCCCACCGCAGAAAGGGCAGAAAGAAAATATTAAGTGCCCTTCCAAGGTTTTGAATACCCTATACTGGGCTTATTAGTCCTGACAGCAGCTAATGAGAGAGAGCATTAAGGGAACTAGCCTGCCACCCCCAAATCTAAGAATGCTAAAAAGATGGACTTATTAAGCAAAAATATATATTCAGCGGGGTTTGCAGCTGCGTGTTGCTAACCAACAGGCGCTGCTGGGGCGGTACGATTTTTAATTTGTAGGGCTCCATGGAAAAGTTCAGAGAATTGCTTCTGGAGAACACTAGACAGGAGTTCTCTTCCCTAGTCAGTAGGGGCAGACTAGTCACGAGGACATCACTGTAGGCAGGACTAGATTCAGCATCTAGAACCATGGCTTTGGCAGTGGCCATGCATAGATCATCCTGGCTGCAGTCTTCTGGTCTTCCCCTGAAGTACAGAGCACTATCCAGGACTTGCCATTCAAGGACCTGATGGACAGCAAGCTCCATGGACATAAGGACTCTAGAGCCACCCTGAAGTCCATAGGTTTGTACATGTCTGCTCTGGCCAGGAAGCAGTATCGGCCACAGCAGCTGCACCTATTTTCTGCTCTTCCTCTTTGGGGAAACCTATCAAAAAAGAGATCAAGATGTTATGGGCATAGGCCTTCCCTTCCTGCTGCTTTAGCTCTGGCTCTGGGCAAGGAACTGCAAAACAGCCATTTTGATGGGCCAGTCAGGGTCAGCCTATCAGTCTCTGTGTCTTCAGTACTGAACCTCCTCACCGTTGCAAACTGTCTGTCCCTCTCCCACAGTGCTTGGTTTAGGATTACTTTGGATCAGACGGTCTGGAGCAGGTAGAAATGGGACATATTCTCCAGTTTGCTTCTACTCGTCTGTCCCACCACAACTCCCCTTCCCTCTTCCGGGACCATTCTCATGAGAAACTCCTTGTCCAGGAAGTTCAGTCACTCCTTTGGTAGCCATAGAGGAGGTTCCATGTGATCTCAGAAGGAATATTTCCTAATTCCAAGGGCATAGGGTTGGCAGGTGAGGTGGGGAGTGTATGACTAATTTAAGATGTGTGTCAACTAATCAAATTCTTTAAAAGTATAAATTTTTGCATTGACACCCTAGCTTCTGTTATCCCTTCCCAGGATGCTGCCCTTAACATAAAAGATGCCTACTTCCATGTGGCAATGAATTAAGCTTACAGGAAGTACCTCAGTTTTCTGATAAATCAAAATAATTACCAGTTTAATGTACTACGTTTTGGCCTGTCAGCAGCTTTCAGGGTCTTTACAAAGGTCACAACAGTAGTACCTGCATTCCTTTGAAGATCAGGAGTGCAGGTTTATCTCTTCCTAAATGACTGGCTTGTCAAGGGCTGGTCCAAACAGCAAAGGCAGAGCAGTGTTCCTCTAATCCAATCAACACTCAATGCTCTGGGAGACAGAAAAATCTCTCCTCTCCCTGGTCCACAGGATAGAGTTTATAGAGTCTGTACTGGACTCAACTCAAGCCAAGGCCTTTTTTCTGGACTGCAGGTTCCAGGCAGTTTGATCAATTGATCATAGGTTTGAAAGCTTACCCCATCACAACGGCACAAAACTGTTTGAGGCTTCTGACTCACTTGGCATCATGCATCTATGTGGTTCAATAGGTCAGACCGACTCAGAACTCTAAAGGACTGACTGGCATCAGTCTACTTGCCAAGCTGCCATCAACTGGACTCTGGGGTAAGAGTGCACTCCCATGTCTTCATGTCCCTAGGTTGGAGGACAGTTCCAGCCAATGTATGTGTAGGCATTCCATTTGCCCACTCACAACCAACTTTCACACTAGTGACAGATGCTTCAGGCCTGGGATGGGAGCCCACCTCAGTTCTCTACGGATGCAGTGTCTGTGATCCTCAGAGGACTTAGCTTTATACATCAATATCAGGGAACTCAATGCTGTCAGATTGGCTTGCCTGGTATTAGTCGCAGATCAGGAGAGTCAGCTTGTTAGTCCTGGAGAACACGGTGGCAGTGTTTTATCTCAACAAGCAGGAGGGAGCCCTCTCTTTTCCACTCTGTCAAGAAGCAACTCTACTCTGGAGGCTCTGTACTGCCAACTCAGTAGATCTAGAAGCATCTTACCTACTGGGCATGCAGAACAAACTAGCAGACTACCTGAGCAGATTTGCAAGTCACCATGAGTGGTTTCTTCACCCAGATGTGGCCAGACGCATCTTACCGATGCGGGGTTTTCCATAAGTAGATCTATTTGCGACAAAGTCCAAGAGAACGTATCAGCAGTTCTGCTCCATATG